TAACTACAAAGGCCACTGCCTTTCATCTTACTCTCTCTGAAGTTCTCTCCTTTGCAGGCAGTGAGGAAAAAAAGGGTGGGAAATGCAACGCTTGGGATCTGGGAAAAGAGAGGATGAGTGATCGTGCCAATGGAGCAGACTGATGGATTGAATCGCCCGGAAGAACTGTGGGGTGGGGGCTGCTTGGGAACACTTTAAAACATTGAATGGTGGGAGAGGATTCCCCAGATCCTGTCTAGCATGCCTGCAATCAGTTTCTCTTAATAAAGATCCCTGTTGGAAGAGACATTCCAAGAGTTCTGTCTTCTTAAGATGTAAATTGAGGTAGGTCCTTACAACCCACAACTTTTGAAGGCAAACCTTTCCACTGGTTAATTGTTCTCATTGTTAGGAAATTTCTCCTTAGTTCTAGGTTGCTTCTCTCCTTGATTAGTTTCCATTCATTTTTTGGTCTGATTGTTTTGGTCAAAGGTCTGATCAACTGATTTGAATATTTATAAGTTAAATTAAATATAGATTCTCATATCTGAGAAGGTTGCATTCCAATAGTTTGGTGGATTTCCCTTTTTTTCCTGAAGCAGGAAATTTGCAGATTTATGAACTATCTTTGAAGATCCAACAGCATAGAGCAGCAGTAGGTAACCCAAAACACTCAAAGAGTCACTTGGACCCGTTTCCCACCGAAAACAAAACACTGGGAGCCGCAAGACCCTTTTGATATCTAAAATGAAGATAACACTGCATATATCCTTTTTTACCTTTATTATAGGTGTGTGTGTGTGTGTGTGTGTGTGTGTGTGTGTGTGTATCATAAAGGCAGTGTTATCTTCATTTTAGATCTCAAAAGAGTCTCTCTCTGTGTCTCTCTCTCTCCCTCCCTCTCCCTCTCTCTCTTTCTGCCCTTGGTCTGCCAGTCCTTTTCCCCCACTCAGTGTGTGTGTTTGTGTGTGTGTGTGTGAGAGAGAGAGAGAGAAAGAGAGAGGCACTTGCGCTTTGCCCCTCTCTCTTTCCTCTCTCTCCCTCTCTCTTTTTCTCTTTCTCTCTCCCCCCTCTCTCCCTCTATCTTCTGCTCACTGCTTCAAGCTATTCTTCAACAGGCTGGCTCTCTCCTCCCCTTCCTGCTTCCTGCTTCCTGCAGAGACGCAGCAAAGGGAGGAGCCCCACCCAATAAGCTTGTCAGCTCTTCGGAGAATAGGATGAGGCCACTCTCTTTTTTACACACACACACACACACAGAGAGAGAGAGAGAGAGAGAGAGAGAGAGAGAGAGAGAGAGAGAAGCGTGAGTGCCTCTCTCTGTCTCTGTCTCTCTCTGCAAATGGCAGAACAGGCTGGGAGGCGCAGGATAAGGCTCAAAGAGCTGCATGCAGTTCCGGAGCCACAGGTTGCCAATCTGTGGCATAGAGTGTCTTTCATCAGTAATGACAGATTCATTACATTCAATACTCCTTGGTACTTATTGCTCAGACAATGAGATCTATATTGTAGTAACTTCCCAAATGAATTATTTCTGGAATACCTTAATGTCCACATTTTTGAATTACAACTTCTAGAATGATTAAGACAAATTATGCAAACTTGGTTTCATCTCTTCCTCCTATCCTCCAAAACACATTATTTATTAAGGGTAGTGTTAGGCAAGAAGTAATTATTCCTGTACTTTTAAAAATTTAAGTTTTATCTATATAATCAGATATAACAAAGAAAGAATGTTACAGCTTGATAAAATAAAAAAATAGCGGGAAATCCCAATAAAATTTAAAACCATATTTTTTAATAGGAAGAATTAGTTTGCTTACTTGTGCATAATTCTTGAAATCTAGCTTTAATTTTGAAGACAACCATTGTCATTCCAAGAAATTAGAGCAAAAGTAAAGAGAGTTTACTTGTCAAAAATTAACTCTTAAACTGCTCTTAAACTACTGCAGCTTACAAAACAGTGGCAGGCTTTTTGAAATTCTCTCAGCAGCACAATTGTACTGAAATAACCATCCTAGCTAATCTTCTTTCCCTCCCTTTCTTCCTTTCTCTGCAATGTAATTCCCTGTTCAGAGTGAGTTTCAAGGGAGGATATCAGTGCTTTGCATAGAAGTCACATACTTTCTAGTCATGATATATACACCTGCTATGAAAAGTAAACACAGTGTGTTGAAAAAAATGGTTTAAAAACCCCTTTAACCTCAGAAATAGAAGCACTATTGTGCTGTCAGCATATTTTTGCACCTAACTCCTAAGCTTACTCGAAAAAATGTACTTTTGTGACCCTCCACCTATTGACTTATGACCTCCATAAATCCCTAATTTAAGAACATTGCCATAATATAAACTACTGAGCATAAAAGAGTGGACAAAATCAGCCTGAGTTTGATAACAAGAGTAGTTTTCTGAAGAAGGTATAGAAAACCATAGAAATACAACAGCAATTGCAAATACAAAGGGGGGGTGGTGGTAGGACCTTTAGGCACAGACCCTTGGCTGCGCCTCCTTCACTCCCTGCCATTCACCTCAGCCCATTTACATCCAGCTTTCCTCTTCCACTGGCCCTCTCCTGGCCATTCTCCATGGCCAATGGGATCTTGGCCCTCCACCCCTCACCCTTCAGCCCAGCCAATTTGTCCCTTTGTCCTGGGCCTTTGGCTGCATGGGACAAATAGCCCCCAGCCAATTGGGTGGCAGGCAAAATCCATGGTGCTGCAGGGGTAGCATGAGATGGCCAATTGCAGAGGCTGTTGTGGGGGCAGCATGCAATGCAAGATTTTTTTTAAAAAAGTACTGTGGCTGCTCTGCAAGTTTTGGGACCTTGCAGATCTATCACCAGGACTGGAGGGAGGGGGAGTGGTGGTGGGAATAGCAGCTCCCAGGACCACTGAGGGAGCAGACAGGTGAGAATGTGTTGGGGGAACCAGGAAGGGAGGGAGGGGCACCTCAAGGGGGCTTCACAAAGACAGCTTGGTGCACATTGACCTCCCACAGCCCCTTCAATCGGCCATCACATGCTACCCCCACAGCACCATGGCTTCTACCTGCCACCCAATTGGTTGGGGGCTATTTATCCCATGCAGCCAAAGGCCCAGGACAAAGGGTGTCTGGTGAATGGACTGAGTAATGGATTGAGTTGAAGGGCAAGGGGCTCATTGGCCATGGAGAATGGCCAGAGGAGGGCCTACAGAGGAGGAAAGCTGGCTATAAATGGGCTGAAGTCAGTGGCAGGGGTGAAGGAGATGCAGCCAAGGATTTGTGCCTAAATATCCCATTCCAAAGAGAGGGAGATGCACATAGATTCCCAAAAAGGAAACTTGATACCAAAGCATCTAAAGCACAATATGTCTGTGATTTAAGTGTTATTAATTTATAGCAGGCATCTAACACATACTTATTAACAAAATGCCATTTTCTTAAATGTTCTCAGGAATGTACAAAATAACATATACACTTAAATGGAAGAAGTTTGTGCCTTTCAATGTAGCCCCAGGACCAAAGCTTTATTTTATTCATGGCAGACATTGCTATGCTCAGTGATGATGAATGCATCATTAAGAGACCTTGAAAGAATAGGCAAATAATAGATCATCATGGAGAAACTCTGTCTATGTCAGGGGTGTCAAACTGGCGGCCCATGGGCCGGATGTGTCACATGCAGGCCACGCCCACCCCGGCTCCACAAAAGCAAAAAACATCACAATAAATCACGATATGTCATGTGATGTTGTGAGATGTAAAAACCCCAAATTTTGATACTCACAATATGAAGACAAGTCTGGTTAACAAAACAAAGGTTTATTGGAGAATAACAGAAACAGAATAAAAGAGAAAAGAGAAAGAATAGAAGAGAGGAGCGTTTGCAAACGCGGCCCCCTGGATCCTTCCCTATGGATTGGATTCCAGGAGCACACTGACCTGGTTTCAGGTTTTGCATTTTATAGCCCTACAATGCATTGTCACATCTAAACAGCTCTTTCATCTTTATGGTGTTCTCTGAAGTTGTACTTTGTTAACCTGACCTCTTCCGTCCATCTGCTGTTATCTTGTTTATTTGGAATTCTCACTTTGGGTTAAAATCCCCTTCTTTGATAGTAGGATTTCCACTCAAAGTGTAAGTTCCTGTGTCCGGGAGATTTTTAGGCAGGATATAGTAAACATTTGGTCATATATTGGCATTGCATTGTTACATTTGTGTTACAGCATTACATTTGTACTAAAGAGACAGTTTCATATAATGGCATTACATTTCTACAATTATTTCTACAATTATTAAAAGAATAACTTTTATTTCCTTAACTTTTATTTCCTTCAATCCCCCCTTTTTCTTTTCCACCTGAATTTATTCTTTTATACTTTTAACAGTTCATAACTTCCTATATTTTCTTTAGATTCCTGTGCAAGCAAGTTTTCATATTCTGAGTCTTCTTTCCCCAATGTTCCTTAAAGTATTGGGCCCATGGTCCTTCCTTCTACCAAAGAAAGTACTAAGGAAACAACAGTAGCAGAAGAAAAACTTTTCAACACATAGTCCAGGTTCTAGGAACACGTCCAATCCATTGAAGTTTTTCTCCCACTTAGATGGAAACAATTCAACAGGTGAGGCAGGTTGAAATTTCATTTTCAGGCCGTCCAGCTGCAGAGTTTGTCACTGGAGAGGATATGATGGGACTTTCCATGGACTCACGCCTTGATTCCTTAAATCAGGAGGACTTGGCATGATTGAGACCACTCAGGACTGGTATTTCTAGGTGACAGTTCTTTTCACCTGAATCCACTCTCCAGGAACAATGGCCAGAGACAGGTGGTAAGGCAGCCTGGGCCTGTACTGAGATAGAAGACAAAACCTGCACCACATTATGCAAATGCTGAGTAACTTTCTTCTCTTCTTCATTGACATTCTTGAACCTTCATGTAACAAAAGCCTCCCATACATCATTTCAAAGAAACAAAAACAACTTTCCAGTTGAGGCCTATATTGACATGGTCTCACCACTAAATGTTGTAAAGCTTTTTTTTTAAACTTGAATTTTATCACATATTTGTTTAACTAAAGTATAAATACAACCATCCTGTTTTAGAAAATATTAATCATCCCTTGCGACCCCCCTTCAGTGGCTGCTTCTGTGTTCTAGCCATTGTTTTATTGTTGTTTTTTCTTTTCAACATCCCTCTCCCATCTTGCAACATCCACCTCCCATCTTTAGTACATTCTTATTCCTTCAACATTCTAAGGCTTGTGTTAAGGCATACAATTCACACGTTTGGGCTGACCACTTTAATGGCAGTCTCCCTGCTTAATGCATGCAATTCACAAGTCTGTGCAAACCAACTTAAAACAACTTTCCTGTTTCTTTCTTTTATTACCAGTTCCTTTCTTCCCTTCTGCCACTCTAGCATAACTTCTTCTTTTTTCTTCTTCCACCTGTATTCAAGACTCCATAAACATACTTGGAGTTAGTGTATATTTTCTCCTTCTCCCTTTGTCATTTTTACACATTGCTTAAATGACTCTAATGGTTGGACAGTTTTTAAGAGTATAATAAGAACCCCCCCCCCAGACATACCACCTTGTAATGTTCCAATACATCTTCTAAGACTTAATATAACACTCTATCTCACACCCTGTGCACTGAACACAATTAATACAGTGAGAACAGCAACAACACCCACAAAGATACCCACAAAATCAGCACATGCAGGAGGTCTTGGTTTTCCTTTGGTTCTAGATAGAAAAAGAAATATAAAGTTTAGTCCTTTTTCCTCTATTACCCCCCTTTCTGTCAGGAAGATTGACTATTAGTCCATGAAGTCCTTCGGAACTTTAGCTTCAGTGAATCTCCTTGGTGAGATTCCACCTTCCACTCCTCTGGGGCTGGCACAGGCCCTTTTACTTGGGAGTAATGGTCCAACCTTTTTCAGCTGTCCTGATAGCTGTCTCAGTGGTTAACAAGATGATGTAAAGTCCTTCCCAGGTTGGAGTTAGTTTTTCCTCTCTCCAGGCTTTTATCAACACCCACTGTCCTGCTTTGTATTGGTGTACTACAAAGTCCAAGGAGTTTGGGCAAGAATGCCTTTCTGTTGCAGGAGAGAAAAACATCTGGACAATTCAAGTACATATTTTCTAATTATTTTATCTTTTAATTCAATTCTTGGTAATCCCTCCTTCCCCGTCTACTATCGTATCTTCATTATGTCTCTTTTTCTTGTTCTTTTCTTTTCTCAACTACTTTGCTATGAACAAGTATATACCTCCTTTAGGCTTCCTGATTAAAATTGTCTACACTTGATAAGAAATGCTAACCACCAAGATGTTCCCAAATGTAAATTTTAGATAAAAATGCCACTGGCTGCCTTTCTCCTCCCCCCCACTTCTGAGTCAAAACCTCCTCCAACCTTTGTCCTTGTTTATAAATAAATTACCTAGCGAAGAACCAACAAAGGAGAGCTCACCAAACCCTGTTTGCATTTGTTAACTAACACAAGCTTTTTTTAAAACAGTTTTGCATACAAATCTTTACTCAAAACAGCATAGCTATTTATAATCCCAATTTTTTTCTCAGCTTCTTTGTTTTAACTTCACAAAAAATAAACAAGCTTAATAAGATATTCTGAGTTACTGAAATACTAGAGTTTTTTTTTCCAAACTCTAGTATTGCTTTTAATATAAAGTTAGTCAAATTCCAATTTAATCAAATTCCATTCAGATGGAAACAGATTTCCATTAAATTTCCATTAAATAGGGAAAACATTTACAAATCTAAGCAAACAATACATTTATAAATCTATGCAAAACAATTTCATTTCTTTTGGTTGATATTAAACAATTTAAACTCAAAAATTTCCAAAAAAAAGTTGTCCAACAATTACTGACCCCTCTTTTGAATAAAAAAAATTGCAAAAGTGGGCATTAAATTTTCACAGCCACCCCACCTTTCTCAAACCTGAATTCTAAGCAGAGAAAAAGTTAAAAAGATCAACCCCCCCCCTTCTCCTTTCTCTCTCTCCCTCTCTCCCTCTCAAAGCAACACAGCCAGAAAAAGCAGATAGAGTTTGAAAAGGCATTAACACACTTAACATTTGCAAAAGGGAGAGAGCAGAATAGACAAGAAAATGGTATAGGATTTCCTGCCTGAGCAGGTAACTTTGGGCTGTCCTTAAGAGGGAGAGAAAAAAATAAATAAACAAACAAACACATCTTTCTTCACTTTGTTGGCCAGACAAACAGAGTGAGGTTATTTCTTTTGGTATCTTCTTTTCTCTTGAGGTTAGTAACAGTCATATTTACTTCACACACAAAGACTCTGACACACATATACGTACCAAGACAAGGAAAAGAGAACAGAAAACTGATTGGGAAAAAGGTCTTCTCACTCACACACAGAGACAAACACACATTTCTCTCATTCCCCTTATTTCCCAAAACTTCCTTTTCTACCCTAGCTCCACATGGGCAGAGCCTGGGAAACCCATTCACAGACACAAGGCATCTGCTGCTAGCAAGATGGGTTTTCCTGTTTGAAGCTACTTAATTTTACAGTTATTTTTTCTTTAGGTTTACAACAATGACTTACAACAACAAGCCCATCTTCTTGAGAGTTTTCCTGATTATGGTTCCCTGAGGTTCTTGATTTGACGGCCACTCAAAACTCTTAACTCAAAACTCTTAACGCCAGTTTGCTTCCCTTCAGGCTGGCCTTCCCCTTGCAGGTGTAAGGGACCTCAACCTTTCAGGTTCGCACTCCTCTGGACTTACCAGTGTTCCCAGAACACAGCCCATCACACTTACACAGCCGTTATCGCAGAAATCCTCCCACAATCGCTCTCCTGACCACCCAGGTACAATTGCATGCTTCCCTCCTTCAGGGCAAAAGTTCCTTACCTGGGCCAGTGCACTGGGTTACCTGGTCTGGGCTTCAGTTGTTGACTTTCTTCCTATTTCCTGTCCTTTGATTTTTGTAAACCAGAGTTGTCAATTTAGTTTGGCTCGGAGCCTGCAAAGGGAAACTAGATCTCAGATAACTTCAGGCAGTTGAAATCAACAGGCGCGCTCCTGATTTTACTGAGAACAGTGTCTCCTAGAAGCTCTTAATGCCCACATTCTCCACCAAGATTGTGAGATGTAAAAACCCCAAATTTTGATACTCACAATACGAAGACAAGTCTGGTTAACAAAACAAAGGTTTATTGGAGAATAACAGAAACAGAATAAAAGAGAAAAGAGAAAGAATAGAAGAGAGGAGTGTTTGCCCCCTGGATCCTTCCCTATGGATTGGATTCCAGGAGCACACTGACCTGGTTTCAGGTTTTGCATTTTATAGCCCTACAATGCATTGTCACATCTAAACAGCTCTTTCATCTTTATGGTGTTCTCTGAAGTTGTACTTTGTTAACCTGACCTCTTCCGTCCATCTGCTGTTATCTTGTTTATTTGGAATTCTCACTTTGGGTTAAAATCCCCTTCTTTGATAGTAGGATTTCCACTCAAACTGTAAGTTCCTGTGGTCCGGGAGATTTTTAGGCAGGATATAGTAAACATTTGGTCATATATTGGCATTGCATTGTTACATTTGTGTTACAGCATTACATTTGTACTAAAGAGACAGTTTCATATAATGGCATTACATTTCTACAATTATTTCTACAATTATTAAAAGAATAACTTTTATTTCCTTAACTTTTATTTCCTTCAATGTGATTGAGTTTGACACCCATGATCTATGTGGTCTCTAGGAGTTAAAAATGACTTGATGGCACATAATAAAGACATTGCTGTGAAATGAGATCTAATGAAGGCCTATGGGGAAATAAGATAAGATAGATAAGATAACCTTTATTGTCATTTTTTTACTGTGGGCACAACAGCACACATCAAAAATGAAATTTAGTTGCCCACTCTCAAAGTGAAACACATAAATGATACACACCTAAACATACTATGTACAACATATGTATAGACCCACACCCCTATATATACATAACAAATAAATATTAAATACTGTCCAACTTGAATATATAACGGAAGGAGGAAGCTTGAGAGTTCACAAGGTTAATGCTGTATGGAATGAAACTATGGCTGAATCCAGATGTTCCGCTTTGGATACCACGAAGCCTCCTCCCAGAAGTTAACAAGGAAAACAGGTCGTGAAGAGGATGTGTAGTGTCTCAGATGATCTTACAGACCCTGCTCAAGCAATGCTTCTGTGCTATGTCCTGGATGGGAGGGAGGGAGCTGCCAATGATCTTTTCAGCCATCCTCAACATTCTCTGCACCACCTTCCTGTCTGAAACAGTGATGCTTCCAAACCAGACTGTGATGCTGTATGACAGGATGCTCTTGATTGTCCCCCTGTAGAAAGTGGTCAGGACAGGGGAAGGAAGATGTGCTTTTCTCATGCGACACAGAAAATTCAGGTGCTGCTGTGCCCGCTTCACCAGTTTCTCACTGTTGAGCGACCAAACCAGCCTACTCGTTAGCTGCACACCCAGGAATTTGATGCTGGTAACCATCTCCACAGGTGAATCATTAATGCACAGAGAAGTGTGGCTGTGCCTGCCTTTTCTGAAATCGACAATGATCTCTTTGGTTTTTCCAAATAGTTTTGAAGGGACCTTAATTGTAATTATGATTTTATTATGCTTATGGTTTTATTATGTTATGATTTTATTATGCTTAAGTTTGACATTAGTAGTGTTAGTTTGTAGCCATTTTATATACATTTGCTTACATGCAAGCAACCTTACAAGTGCCTCATATCAGGAAATTATTTACATAAAAGCAAGTGTTTCATGTATATTGAAAAAGCAATGTCTCATGTCGAATATACAGGAGATTGCTTACATGAAAAGAGCAAGGTAAGGTTCAGTGGTCCAAGAAATAAGGAGGGGGGGAAATGAGTTACAGATGGAACCTGGACTGATGTATATGAGTCAGCATCTTGAAATGTGTTTTTCTGTGCTTCCTTGCTCTTGAGAGTTAGTGATAGCAGGAGAACAAAGCAAGATTTAAACATCTCCCATGCAAATTGCTACATTAAAACTTTTGTTCACAAAACCCCACCCAGAGCCCAATTGTCCAGTTCGAGTCCAGCCATCCACAGGTGCGAAGTTGTTATGGGAACCAGAGCTGATAAGGGATGGTTCCCAGGTGCTTCACTGGATCTCACAATGGAGTGGAGATAAGGCAGATGGCTCCCAGTACATTCTTTTCCCCCTTTCACACCCAAAAAGATACATCAAAGTCTAGAGGGAACAAAGCAGATGAAATAAATCCATCAACCCCCCCCCTCCTCCCAGCAGAGCAAAGCCTTCCCCCTCCCACTAGAATGGCAGAGCCCTGAAAAGAAACATTGAAAAGGTTTCTGACATGTATGTTGTGTTGGCTGAAGTTTCTCCTGGGCTTTTCTGATATTTCTGCAATGTATGGAATGACTACATTGCTTCATTTATTGTTTTCATTGTCTGTTACGGATGAGCCCCTCCTGGGTCTTTTTTGGGGATTTGATGAAGGCCAGCTTGGAATAGCCACAAGTTCTGAGGACTTCCTTGATGTGTTTTAGTTTTTTTTCTTTTCCATCTCTACTGGTAGGCAAACCTTCAGCTTGGTGGGGTAGGGTTTTGATAACTCCCATTTTGTGCTCCAGTGGGTGGTGAGAATCAAAATGTAAATACTGATCTGTGGGGGGGGGGTTTCAGTGTTAAGGCTTCTATTTTCCTTAATGTGTATTGCACAGTCCAGGAAGGCTAGACTATTTTCCTTAACATCTTCCTGTGTTAATTTGATGTTTCTGTCCACAGAGTTGATATGTTTGGTGACCACTTCCAAATTTTGTGTTTTGATTTTGACCCAAATATTGTCCACATACCTATATCAGAGAGTGAAATTCCTGTGAAGGAGTTTAGGTGTTTGGTTTCTACCTCTTCCATGCAGAGATTGGCCACAATGGGGGAACAGGTGAACCCATGGCACAGCCATTTTTTGTCTGTAGAAACCTTCATTGTATTTAAAATAGGTAGTGGTCAGGCAGAGGCACATATATGGTCTGGGCCGAGGTTGGTTCTGTCACCTAAGATGCTGTCTTGTAGCAGTCATTTCTTCACTATTGTGACAGCTTCAGTTGTTGGAATGCAGGTGAAGAGGGAAGTCACATCATAGGAAACCATGGGTCTCATCCAGCTCCAGTTTTATTTTCCAAACCTTGCGGGTGAAGTCCTATGAAATGTTGATGTGATGGGTGGTGTTGCCAACTAGAGGAGCTAATAATGTGGTTAGATGTTTTGCAATGTTGTAGGTGACAGTGTTGATGCTGCTGACAATTGGTCTGAGTGGTGTTCCCTCTTTGGGGACTTTGGGGAGTCCATATATGTATGGCATGGCTTCTCCAGGATAAAGATGGTAGTATTGTGGCTTGCCTATGGCATTGTCCTTTAGTAGTTGTTGAAAGAAATCAATGACCTTTTTCTTGTAACTGCTCGTGGAATCTCTCTTCAGACTCTCATACATGGCAGTGTCTTTCAGAAGACTGTTCTCCCTGGCCCTGTAGTCATCTGTATTCAGGATGATTGTGCATCTTCCTTAATCAGCTGGCAGGATGGTGATGTTTGGGTCTCTTCCTAGGGATGTCACTGCTCTCCTTTCTTGAATTGTGAGGTTGGAAGGAGGTGTTTTGGCACTGGCGAGGGCTGCAGATCATTCATCCTTAATTGTTCTGCCTCTGATTCTGCCAGTTTATTGTTCCTGATGGTTAATATTGTGGCTGTTAGGAGATCTACAATTGATAGCTGTTCTGGTGTTACGGCAAAATTCAGCATTTGGTTAAAACATTATTTTCTGTTTGGGTAAGTTCTCTGTTAGACAGATTTCTCACTCAAAAATCTACTTTATATACACAGTATATGTACTGTATGTGCAGTAAAATGTTCATATCTGTACATTCGGGAAACAAAACAACCACTTCATAAATGTATGGCACAACATAGGAGAACAAACCCACCAGGACAAGATTCAGCTCTCCATCTGTATTTAAAAGACAAAGGCCACTCTTTTGAAGACAGAAAAGTCCACATTTTGGACAGAGAGGACAACTGGTTTGAAAGAGGGGTCAAAGAGGCCATCTATGTCAAAATTGAACAGCCCTCTCTCAACAGAGGGGGAGGGATACAATCTATCTCTAGTCTACAATAGAGTCCTTTCAATGGTTCCAAGAAGGCTCCACACCCATTTGCACTACTCAGGTGACCCTGACAACATAGATAAATGTCCAGGTGGCCTCAATGACTCTCTAAAAGAATGCAAATAACCAGCTGTCTGCAAGGAGTATAAATCCTTCCATTCCCCACCATTCAGTCAGAGCTGAAGAAGCTTCTTGGATGAGAAGCAAAACATCTTCAAAGAAAAAGAAGAAAATCCAGTTGCCTCATGAAAAAGCATCTTTGGGACAACTGTGACCTAAATGACTGAGAATCTCCATAGACATATATTAAAGAGAAGGCTACGATGAAATGCAATAAAGATGCTCTGGTTAACATTACTGTCAGTAAGAAGATGAGCTGTCACATTCCTTAGGCACTGAGACATCATGGTAGACTCCAGATAGAGCAAAAAGTATGGAAGGAAGAAACACGTGACTCCAATCTAGGGGAGGAAAACTTTCTACTAGCTGAAAGCCTATGAAACATCCTTCACACAACAAGCTCTGTGTCATTATTATAAAAAGCATAGACTATTATATCCTCTAGGACGATGAGATAGAAAAGCAAAATCCCATTTTTTTTGTGAGTATTACACTCGCTACAACCGTGCTGAACACATAACATCTTAATAGTTCCTGCTAAACTTTGTCATAAAAGCAAAGCTAAGCAGCATATGCCAGACTTTTGCAAAATTCTCCAGTTCAGGAAATTCACCTTAGCAACAGGCCATAAACTAAACACAGAAGACATCCCTGGGGTACATCAAAGTATACACACTGGAGACCTTTTTAAACATATACACATACAGACCAAATCCCCCAGGCAGCAGATCCTCTTTGCCATTTTTATATGTGCTTAATCCTGAAAACACACAA